GGGGAGGAGAATGGGGAGGACTGGTGCCCTAGTCCCTTTGGGGACACATGACCCAGGACAGCTTCCTTGGACAGGGAGCCTCTTGCAGTTGGACACCTGCCCACAGAGCAGCTCTGGGGACCGACCTTTGTCACCAGGCCTGTGTGGGACACCCGAGAGCCCCGCTAGGCCTCCTCATCCACAGAGGTGGGTGCAGAAGCCTGCAGCCGGCAGAGGACGGAGCCCTGGGTGGAGCCTGCTGCCCCTGCCCGTGGGTGACCCTGAGGCAGCAGGACCTGTGGATCCCAGCAACAGCCTCCTGGGTAATGGGACGAGCCTAAGGACGGCAGCAGGAAGGTGTTTAAGGTGGTGCACCGTCTTCTGGAGGGCTGCGGGGAGAAGCTTGGGGCTTGGGTGGAGCTCTGGCAAACAGAGCCAGGACCTGCTTCGTTTAAACAGCCGTCTCCCACTGCCCGCTGCCCCGGAAGTGGACACCGACAGAGAGTCCCGTGTAGACTCGTGAGTCTCTGAGGCCTTCCCATGATGCAGGTGTGTGATGAGCAGGTGGTGACTGAGTCATCGACACACGCATCCTAGGTGAGCGCTGAGCTGTTCTCCACCTGGGTTCAGGTGCCTGTCACTTGGTTAAGACCCTCGTGGAGAGAGGACTTGGGACTCACGGGTTGAGACCCTGGTCTTTCCCGGGGATGACGGCTCCATGATTAGAAAACACCCCCGGGGCACAGCGTCCACAGGGCCAGTGACCTGCAGAGCCTGTGTGCTGCGTCCGGGGGCACGTGGCCCGCTTCCCACACCCGTGCCCTGGGCCAGCTGAGCCACTGTGGCTACAGGACAGAGGGCGGAGGGACTCGGGGCCTGTGCTGGGCCGTGGAGGGCAGGGTCAAGGGTGAAATCACGACTCCGAGCACCGCGTGGACGGGCACAGGACTTTATTACACCCGTCAGCCTGCGGGGACACCGGGAGATGCTGCCGTGGCTCAGGAGGCTTCTGGGAGCAGGTGCGCTCCCGGGAGCCAGGCGGGCTGCCGGAGAAGGACCGTTCCCCCAAACCCCTGCCCCTCCGCCTTCTCTCCACCAGGCGCGGAGGTGACAGTCAGCTCAACAGTGGGTGACAGAGCCACCCCGCAGACAGGAGTGCAGACCAAACCGTTCCTGACAGGTGACAGCCCACTGGCCGGGCAGAGCCAGCCGTCCAGAGTGGGGAGGCCGAAGGCCCCCCAAGTGTCCCCGGCGCTCAGGCCTCCCAGGTCCTACCCTGACCTCGCCGTTTCCACCACGGCACTGGAAGGACAGCGTCCCTGAAGGACAGGAGTGGGCTCCGAGGTGGAAAACTCTCCTCCACATGCAGATGGGCGCCGTGGACACGCCCAGGCCACAGGGACCCTGCTGGGGTGGCTCCTGGCAGTCGGGGTGCGACTGTGCAGGGGGGTACTGTGAGGAGCAGAGGGAGGGGAGGCCTGGCCCCAGGGGGGAGGGCTGCTCCTCAGGCTCCAAGCCCCGCCCCCCTCCCAGGCTGCTGAGCAGAGGGAGTCGGTGGGGCCCAGGGTGTGCAGCAGAGGGAGTGTGGACACGCCTGCACACACAAGCGTGCATACACGCAGCACACGGAGCCGACACGGTGCAGCTGCCCATGTTGAGAGAACTAGAATAAGGGAATGGCCACGTGTGGTCTCTGCCTGGAGAGCAGGGAGCACGCACGCAGACCACACACACAGGCGTGTGCCATCGGCATGTGCTGTACGCTGGACCTTGCTCTGCACGGTCTCTGTCCTCTCTCAAGTGTCCAGTGGACGGCCATCAACCTGGAGCAAAACTGGGCCACGCCAGCTCAGGGAACGGGCCCTCCCCAGGTAGGTACAGAGGTGACATGGCTGCACCTGGGCTGCCGCCTCCCTCCGCCCCTCCCCTCCGCAGGTGGACCCCGATTGTGGGCGGGGCCAGGAGGCCCACTGCAGCGGCGTGGAGCGCGGTGGCCCTCAGTCGTAGGCGGGCAAGCCGAAGAGCTGGGGCTGCAGGTCCTGCAGGGAACGCAGCACCAGGGTGGCCTTGCTCGTCAGGTCGCGGCTCAGGCGCTCATCGGGGACCATCACCACYTGCATCCCGGCCGCCAGGGCCGCCTCCACCCCGTTGGGAGCGTCTTCGAAGACCAGGCACTGTGGGGACAAGAGAGCGAGATGCCGTGCACGCCCACACACCCGGGGGGCCGAGCGCCGTCCTCGGCACGGGCTCCGCCACGTGCGCACGGGGACAACGGTGCTGCGTGACTTCTGGGTTAGAGGGTGGGGGAGCGGCTGCGGTGGACCCCCACAGGGACGGCGGTGGGGAGAGGTGTCCATCGTCACCAGAGCATGGTGGACACGCAGAGAAGCCTTGCCCGGGTCACTGCCTTCAGCCTCACCCACGTCCTGAGGATCTGTTGGGCCAACACCTGGACACGCGGGGGGAGCGGGGGAGGGGCACTCGGGGAGCGGGGGAGGGGCACAGACAGCAAGACCACGTCATGTCCTGTAGGCGTGACACCGCGTCACAGCGGCACGGGTCTCACGTACTGTAGTGGCAAAGGGCAGGGACGGGGCGCTATAGTGCCAACCTGCGTCCCTGGGCGCACAGCTTAGTGACACATAAACCCCAGGAACACCAAGGCGTGGCGCGTCAGGAGGATGGTGACAATCACCGTGCCATGGGGGATGGTGACATGAGGGCACACTGCCTCCTGGCCCTCCTCACCCGGTGGCCTGTGCTGGCAGTGGGTGTCCACGTGTCGGTGCCCAGGTGTGCCCAGCCCCCTCCCTGCAGGGCCCCCCCAACACCCCCACCCCTGCACCCCCCACAGCATTCCCCCAACACCCCCACCCCTGCACCCCCC